GAGCTCTGGGACTAGCCTTGTTGCAAACCTTTGTACTTTCTCTAACTTCTTGACGTGCTTGACCAGGTGTGGGTTTCAGACTGGTGCTGCATACTCCAGTATGGGCCTAACATACACAGTGTACCTGGTTCATGTCTCCCTCGCCTATCACCTTCATGATACCTTCAATCGCTTTTTTCTCCTCCTGCTTTCTTTCATCATAAGTTTCCCCTTCATCTTCGTCTAGCCCATAGACAAAAACTGATCTCTCCCTTTCCACCTCCCACTGTGACTCCCATTGCATCCTCTGAGGTATTTTAGTTCCTTCCCATGGAGTGTTCCTTCCTTCAGTCCCTTCCCTAGCTGTGGCCCCTATGCTCATTGGTTTGTCCTTCCTGCTCACCTGTTTCCTGGGCCCCCACAAGTGTCTGGTAAGGTCCCTGCACATGTCCTAGTTCCTTCAATGTCTTCCAACCTCTCATTCTGTTCTAGTGTGCTCCCTGTCTTTGTTTTGGCCCCATGTGAGTTTGACAGGACCTCTGCATACAGTTTAGCTTCCATGCTCCCTTCAGACCCTTTGTCTGTGTCTGATGTAAACATTGCTGATGCTACTCCTGTATGATCTTTGTCTCTAGGCTGTTTCATATTTCTCTGCTCCTCTTCTAATCTCGTGTGTGTGTGTGTGTGTGTGTGTGTGTGTGTGTGTGAGTGTGAGTGTGTGTGTGTGTGTGTGTTGTGTGTGTGTGTGTGTGTGTGTGTGTGTGTTTTGGTGTGAGTGTGAGTGTGTGTGTGTGTGTGTGTGTGTGTGTGTGTGTGTGTGTGTGTGTGTGTGTGTGTGTGTGTGTGTGTTGTAAGATGAGTATTTTGTAGTAAGCTAAGTATTTATATCATTAAAAGTGATTTGGTCGGGTTAAGTTGGATGGGGTACAAATAAGACTGAAGGGGGAGTAAGAACTAATGAGCGTGTGGTAAAGTTTGGTATATAGGTGAATGTGTGAAGCATTGGTTTGTTAGCATGTTAAGTTCAGTTTGCTCCTAGTGAGTGTAGCATTGTTAGGTAAGACACATATGCAACAGTTAGTATCTTTATTTCGAAACGTTTCGCCTACACAGTAGGCTTCTTCAGTCGAGTACAGAAAAGTTGATAGAAGCAGAAGATACTTGAAGACGATGTAATCAGTCCATCACCCTTAAAGTTTGAGGTGGTCAGTCCCTCAGTCTGGAGAAGAGCATTGTTCCGTTGTCTGAAACAATGGAACAATGCTCTTCTCCAGACTGAGGGACTGACCACCTCAAAACTTTAAGGGTGATGGACTGATTACATCGTCTTCAAGTATCTTCTGCTTCTATCAACTTTTTTTGTACTCGACTGAAGAAGCCTACTGTGTAGGCGAAACGTTTCGAAATAAAGATACCTAACTGTTGCATATGTGTCTTACCTAACAATCTGTCGGTATTTTATACCTTTTTTAATGTTCACGAGTGTAGCATGCTGTGTTCGTATACTAGGTTCAAGGCAATCTGAGCGAGTGAAGCGTGACTTTGTTAGCAAGTTAAGTTTAGGCACTCATCTTTAGGATGTGCTGGGAGAAGAGAACTTAGAGGGTTTTGTAATAAACTGATAAGGTAGATATTTTTAGCTAGTGACAAGGGTGTTAACCATTGGGGGATGGTGAGTGTGGTTGTATGTGAAGGTGGTATATAGAGTGGAGTGTGTTTAGTGTGTGAGTCTGGGGTGTGTTTGTATGTGAGGATAGTATATAGAGTGGAGTGTGTTCAATGTGAGGAAGGGACTGGGGTGAAGTTATAAGTGAGGGTAGAGAATACAGACTAGTGTGTTGAGTGTGAGGAACTGGGGTGGGGTTATATGTGAGGGTGTAGAGTGTAGAGTGCAGTGTGTTGAGTGTGAGGGACTGGGGTGGGGTTATATGTGAGGGTGTAGAGTGTAGAGTGCAGTGTGTTGAGTGTGAGGGACTGGGGTGGGGTTATATGTGAGGGTGTAGAGTGTAGAGTGCAGTGTGTTGAGTGTGAGGGACTGGGAGAGATTATGCGTTTCTTGTAGCCAAAAATATTAATTCGGTAGTTATTTTGTTCTAATGTATATTTTTATCTCTAGTATTATATTATTCTTTTCTATATTTTCTGGCATATTATTCTGTCTTCATTGCTTTTATGCAAGCTTTGTTAATGAGTAATATTGCCAAGCTTTTCGCTTTATAAAACTATCTCTGATATTTCCTCCCATCTTAGAAACGGAATAAAATGTTGTTGGACTCCCAACCCAATTCCAATAAAATTCTTGAATTTGAGCTGTGTTTGCTCGCACACTCTCCAGACGAATGCTCTGTTGTTTTCTTCAGCCAAAAAGCAAAAAAAATATAATATTTCTTTTCCATTTCATTTACTCAGACTTTATCTTATGTCTTCATTTATTTGTTTCTTATTGATGCATTTTCTGAATGATTTATTTCTGTATTTCAATTATCCCCACGATTACAGACTTATTTGACGTCTTCCTGCCTGCTATCATGCTGATCGTACTGATCAACAAATGAGCACATTAAATCATATAATGCTGTATGAGATGATATTTTTGAGAGCAATGTGTGGTGAGAATATTATTCAGAGCATTGAGAATCGAAGACATCGTATAATTTTTTACGACTGACTAGGTGTTTTGAGGTGTTTCTGGCTATTGGAGAGGATAAAAACAGAAGTGTTACTAAGAGAGTAAATAATTCTGAAGTGAAAGGAAGAACGGGTAGGGGACGTAACAAGAAACTTCAGAGGGAGTAGAAAACGAAGGTTTAGTGCTAGGGTCTTGAACATCAAACAGCTTCTGAGAGTACTTTTGATTGGAGTGAATGGATACAGCTAGTTATAATTGCTTGACGTGCTCTGGAAATGTAAGGAAACTTTTATGAAAGGATTCAAGGAAACTGGTTACCCGGACTTGAGTATTGCAGGTGGGAGGTACAGTACCTCTACTCTCAAGTAGAGTTGAAAAATGCTCCATTTCTGAGAATCACGAGTTATGTTCAACATGTGGCCTCTTCTTTTATGGGTCACCTTGCCTTGGTCGGAGAAGACAAATGTTAAAAAATTGAGAAAAACTGAAAAATATTTTGCCAATCATATTTACTCATATTTGCACACTTAGTTAATTTGGCTTAAAGTTATCGACTATTCCATGGATCATTCAAGCTGTTGGTCACCAGCTCAACACCAGTCAAGATTAATGTAATTAGATATCCGAGATGAAACTTTAAGCGGATTTCTGATTTTTTTTAGTTATCTTCGAGGCAGGACGTTTAAGTGTTCCCCGGAATTTTTTTTCTATTCCTTCTTTTTCTCCCTCTCCACCTTTTCAGTTTGATTTCACTCAAAACTCGAGAATACTTCATACATTAGGCTTCAATGCTTCAATGCTTGTGCAAGGTATCAAGGGCCCGATTCTTGCATCCTACCAAGTTTTGTTGGCGTGAAGACAATTTATCCAAATAGTAATATAAATAGTGAAAAAATGGATTTATTGGTATCCAGATTAAAAATGAACTCGTCACGGCTCGTCTGATCGACTTCAATGTTTTTCACTTGTGTGCTTTCCTGAACGCAAGGTTCAAGCTGTTTTAGATTGGCATAAGTCCCAATTTGACTATTTCAATTAACTGAATCTGAAAGTAATTTATTTATAATAACTAAAGACTGTTTCTTTTGATCAACTTAAAAAATGTTACAGACGATGCACTCTATAAGAAAAATTATACCTTATATTTTTATTCTGAGCTAATGCAAGGCTAAAATTTAAAAAAAAAAACCTGTACAAGACATGAAATCGTTGGAATGAGATGAATTACTAGATAATGTATTCACTTTCGCCATCAATGGGCTCTATCTAAGAAAAATTTATCATTAATTTTGAGCTCTGAACACTGCTGTGCATTAATAGGCCAATTCTAGGCAGGAGAAATTGCACATCTAGAGAATGTACAAAGAACCTTCGTCGTACATCTTAGTTCAGTCAATCACTTTAATTACTGGAACGTTTTTAAGTCCCTTGAACGTACTCCCTGGAACGCAGGCGAGAAAGATAAAGCATAATCTACATCTGGAAAATCCTAGAGGGACTGGCCCAAATCTTCACACAGAAAACACAACCTATAAAAGCAAAAGACTCAGCAAATATATTCAATATACCCCCAGTGAAAAGCAGGGGTTCCATGAGTACACTATGAGAAAAGACAATAAGCCTCAGGGGCCCAAGTCTGTTCAACAGCCTCCCTTTATACAAGGGGGCTTAATTAACAATAGGCTTTCTGGTTGTCTTCAAGAGGAAACTAGACAGATACCTAAAGTCGATGCACGACCACCTGGGATGTGGTACGTATACTGGTTTGCGTGTGGCCAGTAGTAACAGCTTGTTGATCAGGCCCCTGATCCACCGAGTTGCCTGATCAAGGACTAGGTCATTGGGGGTGTCGATCCCCGAAACAATCTGCAAACATAATGCTCTCATCCTACTGTTAGAGGAATCTGTTCTCAAACAAGTAACTCTAAACATCATAGAGATTAAGAACAGGAAGCTTAGGAAAAAAACATTATTCTGTTTAAAAATTTTTGGAGTTTCTTTAACCCTGACAGTGGCCTCCGTACGTGAACCGCAAGGGTGTGGACCACATAACTGGAGTGATGAGCAGGGTTCTCACAGTACTTTCTGATCACCTCTCCTTCTGGTAAGATATTTTATCTATATTACTGTAATTCATATTATTAACGTGTGTGTGTGTGTGTGTGTGTGTGTGTGTGTGTGTGTGTGTGTGTGTGGTGTGTGTGTGTTTTGTGTGGTGTGTGTGGTGTGTGTGTGTGTGTTTTATGTAAAATGCAGAGTTAATAATATTTCATTTTTTTATGGAATTATCTGAAAATATAATTTTAAAACACTCCCTTTTCCATTTTTTAAACACAACATTATATTAGAGCTACATTTTTAACATTTCATATCTAATTAACATCTCCATACTATGGGCAGCTACCAGTTGGTGCCTATGGATAAAGGTGGATGGGGTATCAAGCTCCCTAATGGTACCTGGACAGGCATGATGGGCATGTGCTATCGAGGGGTGAGTCTCACCTCTTTCTTACTACACATTTATTAAGTATATGTATCATATTTCCTTACAAGAGTAAGGTAATGAAAATTTCTCATATGGAGCCAGTGTCATGTAATGGAAACTATTTCTGGGGTAATCTAATGACGCTGGTGAGCTGTGTGATGAAGGTAAGTGTGAACATAAATAAACAGTTTTTTTTTAATTCATTTAACAAATTACATAGGAAATAATGAAATACAATGTAATTTATTTCAGTTTTAAACATAGTGCAAGTCACTTCGTGACTTTAAAAACAAAATGAATATTAATTTTATTGAACAGTGACTTAGTCTGAAGATTTTACAATGAATTTTTTTCTCCGCTGATAAAAGGGTAAAGCCCAGTAATCTGATCTTGAGAATTTTTGGAAAAAGTTTTAATTCTTTTCAGAGCAGTTTTACCTTCACTCTGTATGTACAGTCCACTGTTGCAATCACCCTTAAATTCAGTTAGTTCTATAAAAATAAAAAATAATGTTTTCGAAATTAGACTTTAATTAACAGTATAGAAAAATGCACATATTCATATCCTTCTAAGGCTCGGAGGAGGTCAGAAGAGATGTGCTACATCAGATTTGTCTTCCAAGACGATGCAACTGTTTCTCCTTTTAGTGTTAGTAGCGATATCTGTCGATTTACATATCACTAAATCCCTGAGAAAAGCTCTGGAAGTTCCTTTCTCAATAAACAATATACGTGAGTGCCATGAATCCAAGCTGTACAGTAGTAGTAGTAGTAGTAATAGTAGTAGTAGTAAAAGTAGTGGAGGTAGTAGTAGTAGTACTGGTCGTAGTAGTAGCAGTAGTAGTAGTGGTCGTAGTAGTAGTAGGGAAGGCACAACTGGGAGTTTGCTTTGCTCATTACCAAAATAATTTCCTCTCAATGTTCGCAATAAATGATTTTTTATGGGAAATTTAAATTCAAAATGTGTTTTCACAGTATATTAGATGGAGCTAAATCCATTCACATCATTATAGAAAAAAAATATATTAACAATATTTATAATAATTATTATTATCTCACATTTGGAATCGCATATCATTTTACCATGCAATCGAGTAGAAAAAGATTCTGGAAAATTTATGTTGCAAATCACAGAAACAGATTTTCAAACGGCAATTATTCATTTCTAAAATGAAATTCACTCATACGTGAACACCAAAAACAGATTGCAATGAAAATTAAATTGTATATTGCTTAACAATAAAGTGAATTAAATTTAAATGGTAGAATTTTGATTGGTAATCAATATTTACTTGCCTCATGTGAAAACACGCAAATGATGAGACTAAAGAAAATATATCTTATGATACCTGCGAAGAGAAGGACCAAGACTGGGAAGATAAGTGTGTACAGTGCTCGGAGAATTTGATAGGGTGAGCAAGGATATATATTGAAGAAAGCGGGAAAAATTAAATACGAAAACACTGTGTAAAGTAAAATGACACAGGTGCAACTAATGTGACATTTTTATTTGTGGCAACGTTCCGCTCTCCAGGAGCTTTGTCATTT